GTGTGTGTGTGTGTGTACATACATATTCTATACTATGCAGTTTCTCAAGTCATTTTTCGCATTTGTCGTGATATGTTTTCAATATCTGCAAAAAAAGATTTCTGGTAGTATTAAAGAATCCGCTGGCGTGATTTATAATGGGAAAGCTTATATAATATTCGGTGACGCGAATTCGGCGAGCCGTAGTTCTTTCCCAGTAGATCCTATTATGATACAATCTGTATTTTCTCAAGAGGACCGCGGACTTCCGATTCGGTGGCTCACTAGAGCAGGATGCAGGATGCGTGCTCGCACTCACACCAGTGAAACTAAGGTACACTCGAGCAGAACTTGACATTCGTACAGGGTCTCCAAGCAGATTCACAACACAATCACGTCCTCGGCATTCAAGCACGCAGCAATTCAAACAGCACTCAAGGACTCAAGGAGGCACGCCATGGTACACTCAGCATAGGCGCAGGCCACAGCCAAGATGCCTTGTCCAAGAACACCTGCTGCACATCCACTTGCAGGAATGGCAGCAGTGAAGCATTTATCACCAACCAGGTGTGTTGCAGCAGATGTGTGCGCCGCACCACAATGTTCGTTGGAGCCGAGCTTATGGAGCCGACTCTGATACAAGCCTGTTGGTTTCACGACACCTCGAGGCACCTTGCCCATGAGAACGAGGTCGGGCTCACGTCGCGTACGCCCGGAAGCGATGATCAGCGCAGGGTACACGACAAGTACAGACCTGAGAGAAAAGGACAACCAATCTACCCCAAGTGCAACGATCCCGCTTGAAAACAATCCATAACAACTGTCGGTGGTTGTGTTCCGTTTTTGATCCAAGTAAATTTGACCACCATGCAAACTTAGCTCCCGAAACCGGGGGCAGGCTAAATGAAAAATGCTCGTGATCGATGGCAAGCTGTATCTTCTGCAGTTCCGGTAACCTTCCTTCCTCGGAGCCCTCCTATTCATTGGAACGATAGCTTGGTACCGCAACTACTTACAGAACAAGACATCAGCACATGATTGTCAGCTTGCATACCCCACATGTTTTGCCCTACATCCCGGTCGCTTCGGCAGCCCTCTCGGCAAGAAGCAGCCCGTCAACCCTCTGCCAGCTGCTGGCGTCCACTCCCATCCACTCCCAACGACCATGCGCAGCCATAGCTCTTCAACAAACCACATGAGACGTGAATCATTGTTCCTCCAAACTGGCGCGACAGAGAGGTCTTACAGAGCTTTCTCCCTTTCGGAGGTTTCCGGGTTTATATTGGAGGTCTCGTGAAATGCAGAAAACTGGCTTTGGCCATGCGACAAATCCAGTCGCGGAAAAGATAGATCCGGAAATGAAAGATCCAATGACATTCTTGTTTTGTACAACTCGGCATGGATTGCGAAATCGCATTGATATGAATTCCACAAATTTCGGAAATACATGTGCATCGTAGCCAACTCATGGCTAGCGACTCTGGAAAACCATGAAACCATTTGAACTTTGGTACTGTGCATCACTATGTAGGACTTCTTGTTTGTAGCAGATGGAAGTGCAGTGCAGTTGGCAAAGCATGCCTGTCGAGAAACTGTTGTGCTCTGTACCTTCTCGAGCATGAGCACAATCCCCGAAATCGGAAAGTATCTCTTGCAGCTGTTCTGGAGCTCAAAACAAAAAGACAGTCTCAGACAATGTTGGAGCCACATCGTCGGTGGTGAGTCCCAACACTCTTCTGAGGCCCGAACGGCAGACAAAGCACTGGAAGAAGGATTGAAATCGCTCCCAATCGGGAAAAGATGCCTGACGTGGTGCTCTAGCCCCGCACTCCATTTGAAAAAGCTGCAAAAATGCAAGGAGCCCACAGCCCCTCGAGAAATAGCCAAGCTGCGCAGCTGGCATGGTGCCAGCATGATTCCACACCTCGGAGCAGCATTTCGTTGGTTGTCGTGCCTAGAAAAATGCCAATGGCAGTGGCAAATGCTGTCTTAATGCGGCGACGGCCGGGACTGCTACACGGTTACCGTGTCGCATGTGTATATGCACATGCGCTTATGTACACATGGACGCATGTCTGTACAAACCCAGATGCATGCAGGTGGTTTGCTCCTTCTCTTCTGCACAACATCACAAATGGCACAACAGCATTGCAGAATCATGGTCGTGTCATCATCATCTCGGGTTTTTCAAAAGCTCACCCTGGAATCTCAAGGCCGCAGTGGGCAGTGGGGTCCGCGTAGAGGAGCTGCCCCTCTGGTAAAAAGTTGCAGCTTTTCTTGATCCAACATGACTCCCGCTGGCCCTGCCCGGGCCCCGGGCATTGATTGGTATTATGCCATTCGATTGTGAGAGAACAGGCATCCTTAAGACAACCTAAAGGCCAAACAACCTCATGCAAACCTATGCCGTGCAACATCAGGACAACCTAAGAGACGACCTCACATCAGCAGCATCACCAGATCAGGCCATCCAAACAACATCGCCACATGAGTCCAATACCAGTATTGTATTGCAGTATTGTGGGCTCATAGCATTACAGTATTTGAGTCTTATCGTCTGATAACCTGATAGCATGGAAGTATTATAATATCATGCTTGTTCTAGTCTGCAAGCTCAGAGGTCGGCAACATCAGCTTGATAGAGTTGGAAATCAAGTTCTTGGCGACGGCGTGAACGGACCGTTTGACGGCTGCCTCCATCATTCTTGGGGTTCGGCGCTTAGGGTTTCAGGGGTTTCGGCGTGTAAATCTTGACATCCACGGCCGGGAGGAGTTCTGTCTGCCGCAAGGTTTTGACACATCCAAGCTCTTGGTGCACAGACTCCTTCCGACCAAAGCCCTGCCTCTGGTAACTCGTCCTCCTTGGGATGGAGGTCGCTCGCCTACGAACGCAGAGCCCCCGCGAACTGTTGTGTGAAAGCCAGACAACCCAGTGACTGCATGTCAGCAACTAGCTCGTACACCAACCTTGCCTTTGAAAGGCCGTCTGTGCTCGGGCCAGCCTGGCTGACAAGCATGATCAGCCAGGTCCACACCTTCCCATGTGCGGGACACCTCCGCGCCCGTTCCTGGAGGTTCCGGGTGTGTGCTCCTGCGCCCGGAAGGCAACCGAAAGCTGCACTTGGCACCCGCGAACACTTACTCTCCAAGATCTTGTGCAAGCGAGACACCCGGCCAAGGCCAAGTCCCCACCTGGTGCGAGTCGAAGCGGCAGTCTTGCCAAAGCCAACATACAGTATTGCTAATGCTATTAACAACAGTAAGAACAACAATCGCGATAACCACAGTTATGCTAATGATACGCATAATGAGAACAATGAGAACCTGATAATGATAACCATGGACCATATCTAATAGAAGAATAGCCGTAGTGATACTAAAATAATGATAAGACTGATAATCAGCAATGAATACATAAATACATACATAAGGCAACAACAAACAGTTTGTAACATCCTCACAACACCGGCGGCAGATCCAAGAGTCGGGCCTGCCGCGATTGCTCTCATGCCTCTGCGCAGGTTGGTGTGAGCAAAGAAGGCCAAGGTCCCCAAGACAACACCCTCAAGTCCGATGCAAACAGGCTAGGCTAAACCCGGCGAACTGCTTGTGTAAAGCCATGCAGGAAGCAGCTGTTGACGATGGAACAACCCCGAACAACAGTCAGCCAAAGGCTATGAGCCTTCCGCCGGCTGCACAGTGTTCTCAGGCTGCAGTCCTCTTGCGGTTTGGCTTCTGGATATCGATGACGAAGCTGAATGGCCTTCTACACAACCAACACATCCTGCCAAAAGGCTCCCTAGACCTTTTTTAACTTAAAGCCTGGTATCCACTGGTGACTGGATCATAGTCCATCTTTATTTCTCTCGTCGCCCTCGCCGACAGATGGTCTAGAGGGCTGCGCATCCACGATCTCAGACTGTCTACGTGGAGGTTCAGAGCATTTAGTTAGTAAGATTGGTAAGTTCGGTCGTACGTAGTTCTAGCTGCAGCTCTACATGTACATGTGACCTGCTCACAAGCAACCCACAAGATGTGGCCCTTATGTACAACCAAAGCAACAAGATGCGAGTAAACCTCATCGAAACCCATATAGTAAGTATTCTGCTGCTCCTTGGGGCATCCCGGGCATCACGAAGTCGTAGCCTGACCCAAACCGCAGCAGGTCCATTGACCGCAGCAGTGTCCACGATGATGGCGTTGCGTTGTCCAGATTCCACAATTCAGTCGGCTCCATGTATTCACCAATATGTTCGTTCGGGTTTTTCTTTCCCAAGTCTGTCTTTCTGTGCTTTACTTGAACGAAGAGAGAGGAGGAGGAAGAAAAATTGGAGTTAATTCCTGGCACCTGTTGTCCTGCGGTAGTTTCATCGTCCACATCTACAGTGCCGCTTCCTTGTTTCTAATACTGCTACCTTAACCATACTTGGAATCGTTTCTGCTGGTACTGTTTCACGATTAGTAGTTGTAAGCACACCGGCTACCAACACGAGTCGTACAGTCTTACTGTTTTGGGCAACACCACCACTACTAGACGACGACGACCACAACAACAACTACTGCTACTTCTCCTACTACTACTACTACTACTACTACTACCACTACTACTACTACTACTACTGCTACTATTACTACTGCTGTTGTTACTAATTACTACTACGACTATACAGCGACTGCTACTGCCACTGCTGCTGCTGCTACTTCTACTGACTGCTGATGCTGCTGCTCCTGCAGGGGCGCAAAAATCCTGATCCTCCTCCTGCTCCTGCTCCTGCTGCTCCTCCTGCTGCTGCTGCACGGTACTGACGTTACACTTCTAATAGCTGCTCGTCTTGCCAAGAGTTTCGCATTTGGCTTTGGCATGGCTCGAAATCAAAAACGCACGCTCCCACGACTGTTGGTTCAATTCCTTCCTGGTAGCGTAACCTAGGGTCAACAGCATTCGAAACTATGGCTACGAGAGTTCTCAGCGCACTCTTGGGTGCGTCCAGCGTATTGCGAGATTATGGCTAGTCTCGCGATGATGGCTTCTGTATTGCAATTAATTTTGCTATGCTGTTGCCAAACTGTGGTTGCACCCGTTGTTGCAGATGCTCCATGTCTGAGCTTTGATCACTCGTACTACTGCCAATGTTGCAAGCATGGCAAGCATAATGCAATGGCCCTACTATTGCAATGATTGGCAGAGCTGCAGGAAAGGTCTAAGTTTGTTTGTTGTTTACCGCAATCTGTGTGAGCAAACGTATTTCTAGATACAAGTGTTTTTCTGATGAGTTATATCGGTCGTACAAGCGATTCACACATATCAGTTCAGAGTAACGGATTTCATGTTCATTCGTAGATACGCCTGTGCTTCGCGGCAACGGGCCCCCAGGCGATATGCAGTTATCTCTGAAACAGACTGGGTGGCTGCAAACACCATGACCCAGCTAGACAGGTGCACGTCGGTGTGGGAAGCTCTCTCTGCCTTGCATTGTAAGGCACGGGCCCATTTGGAAGGCGGGCTCCACCGAGTAGGAAAGAAACACGGTCATGATCGTGAGCTCCCACGGGCCGAAGGACCACCTCAGCGTTCGGGAGTTTAGGGTTTACATAGGGGTGGGGAGCTTTTGTCATTCGCGGTGGTCGCATATGGTCGCTGTTTGTCCACGTGCGTCCTGGGGCCCCGACCCACAAAGGGCAAAGAAAAAGAAGACGATGAAGGCGCACACCCCGAAGGCTACCACTAGCCTTGTTTCAGCCGCAACTGCCCCCTCCCTTTTCCAGCGGAGTTCCCATCTGAGAAATCGGCAGGCCGAGCACTAGCTCCAAATCGAGGGTGCACAAGATACCCACCCCTGCCACGACCAAGCTGACGTTGATCAGGACCTCAACCACCGTCTTGGGAGCAAACCGTTTTGGGCCAACATTTCACAAAGCACCTGTTTCACGTCACAATTTGCGACAATCAGACACACCGCCGCGCCTGCCAGGAACTGTCGAGGGCCTCCTGTAAGGCTTCCATGTCCACCCAAGCCTGTGCAGTGGCAGCGCTGTTGTGGTGCATCACTTCACAACTTGCGCCCCAAGGGGGTGGGGACGAAACCTCACAAACCGGGGGCAAGCTGCTCGGCGGCGGAAGACGGAGATGGGTGATACTCCTTTTCACTTGCCGCTGCACGTCCCCCCCCCTGCCCCGGCACCAGGCATCATGAACATCATCGGGGTCCCGCTTCTCCGAAAAGACGTCTATCCTGGAGTCCCGCGTGCAGCCCCGAAAACGAGCCCGCGCGGCCCACACCTCATGGCCTGGGGGTTGGCTCGAAAACGGAGGGCGTTTTGGGCCAGTTTCTGGGTGGTCTCCCCCCCCACACCCCCTACAGCTGATCAGCAAAGCTGGGTCTCAAACGAAAGCTCTTCCCTCCACGGAGGGAGCTTTCGTAACTTCTCACTCCAGAATTTGGCAGAACCCAGATTGTAGTGCAGACGAAACTGAAACCCGCGCCTGGCACGTGACCTTGGCGGAAGCAAAGTTTGACAAGGACTTCCAGTAGTTCTTTACAGTTTCAGAGAATCGCTACTGCCAGCATCTTCGAGAAGAGAGACACACAACGTGGCGAGTAGCTCCGCCCGACAGGTGCGAGAAACAATTGAGCCTTGGACTCGCCTGTCGAGTCGTGGTTACATATCTTCCAACATCTTACAACCCTTCTTTCTAGTTTTGGCTATTTCGTTCCGCGCAGACATGGATCTGGAAATTTGTAGCCCGAAAGGTCGCGTGCTTTACACGCTAAACGTCGCCAGGCTTTGCAGCACGTGGAAGTGCTGATTGGCAGCCGCTAGATCTTCTGGTGTGTCTCCGCGATCGTTTGCCATGGGTTCTGCCCCAGACTCAAGAAGTAGATTTGTCATGCCCTCCGCGCCCACCAGAGCCGCCATCCCCAGCGGAGTGATGCCAGGCATGCTGGCAAAAACTCGCGTCATCAGCGAAGATGCTCCAAAACCATTGAAGGCACATTCGGCCCGAGCTACGGCGCAAAGAAGGCAGTACCGGTTCCTTGGCCGTACTCTTCGATGTACGTCAGCTCTGTGAGATATTAACAATGCGGCAATTTCCTTGGCATTACGGTTGCTCCGTGAGAAAAAAGCGATGCCATGAAGTGGGCCCCAGCCCATCCCTCGCAGTTCAGGATTCGGATCACAGCGGGATTCAAGCATAGCCGCCACGGTTTCAACGCTTGCCCAAGAAGCCGCGCCAGTCAGTGGACTAAGTTCCATTGGAGGCCCACCTTTGTGCAACTCTGCTCTGGCTGCAACCAATGTGCGAACTTGCTCTGGGGATCGCATCATGAAGACCGTACTCGCCCCGTTTGCTGCCTGCATGTTTACATCGCTCTTGAGCTCGATGAGAGCCGAAAGCACCTCGGCGGGTTGATGCGACTTGGCTGCTGCCATAAGGAGCGTCTGGCTGTCAAAGTATCCGAAGTGGCCCAAACCGTGCAGCCTGAAATTGACGTCCGCCTCCGATGCAGCCAAACTGCGAATAAGATGCACGTCACTAGCGAAAACGGCACACATGATGCCGTTCATGCTGCTAGTGTCCTTGGCAGCAGCTTCGAAGCTGGAAAATCGGAATTCCTGGAGGAAGGCATCGGCATCCCAAGTCGTTTTCTCCCCCAGCAGTTGCGCGCGATTGGCCAAATAGAAGCGGTAAGAACTCAAAGGACCTGCTGATGCCAAGTGCGCAATCTTGGCACGCACGGCGAGTTCACCCAATCTGATTACAGCTGCCCGGTCAGACTCCACAGTGAAGGCCCCGTCTGCAATCGTGTTCAGCTGCCAGTCGAGGGGAAACATGTATTCTGCTTCTTTGGCGGAAAACACGACGACAAGACTTGTGTTTCGTTTGTCAGATAGGACGTGACACCATAGCTCTGCCCTACACCACCCGCGCGACAGCCAGGAAATGTAATTGCAGCGAGCTCCTGTCACAGTGTGCGTCAGCTCTGGCACCAAAGCGATGAACAGACTAGACACTTCGACGTATGCGGGGATGCTCTGGACGGCCAGGGCAGCATCTGACCGGGTCTCGTCTTCGTTCACGCCCTCCAGGCGTGCGGTGATCTGCGGTATCGCAAACCAGTCGAAAAACAGGAAGCCGTCGGCAATCTGTTGGCATGCTAATGATTGGCGTGCTAATGAGAAGGGCGTATTCATAACGGTGACCGGATCCGGCTCAATTTTGAGGCTTCCATCCATCATGCCACGCAGGGCAGAGCGAAGGACGGCGCACTGGCGGCCTTGCGGATCTGGATGTGCTCCACCCAGCCACTGGTGGCTAACGAAGATGACGAACATCCCCTCCTTTTTTATTGTGGGTTGTATACCGAATACCAGGGTGCAAAGCAAAGAAGGTTCCCTAGGCGATCGGCATGCCTTTTACTTGCTGTGCTGAACACCAGGGTGCAAGTGAACTTCCCTGCTGTTGTTTGGTTTGATGAACATCCCGTCCTGCCACGTGTGCAGCAAGTTGTCTTGCCGCATTTGGTCATGTGGCTTTGGCGCACCTTCCATCTCTAGGAAGTCAGACACCTGCCAGGCGCCAGTCGCTTCGGTTGTTGTTGCCATGGTCGGGGAATTGTTGTTGGGTGTTGCTGGTGCTTTGGAGGCTTCGCTGGTAAAGGACTAACCACTTAGGTTAACCATCGACATGAACCAGAGGGCCTTGACCACATACATTGGAAAGTGCATCGTGTGAACCCACTGCCGCTCGCTCTTATCAACGTCATGGCAGTTTGCGTTGCCCATAGCCCTCTGGCTTGGCGGCGACACGAGGTGCGCCCGAAACCTGAGCCCTTGCAACACAACGCTGGAGAGCCCGGCCCTGCGTGACGTTCACCCTCCCGGGGACCCTCCAATAGCCTCTGTATAGGTACCATTCGAAAGCCTGAAACAACCGCCTCTTGTCGTGGTGTTCTCGTTGAGAGGCAAACGCGACTCTGAAGTTGACCGGAGAGCCACAGGGATGTAGAACAAGCAGCACATCATCACGGGTTCGGGACACGAGCGTCCAGCAACTATGTGGCTTCACACATTGCTATTTGTACGGGAGCCATAACAACCCCTCGCAGGGTACTGTTGCCCGGAGCCCCGAAGCATATAAAGCTAAGTCCTGATTGTTCCTCAGGGTGCACATGTGCTGCTGCCGCGTCTTTTAAATGCTTTTTCACATCGGCGCGTGTGCCAATAGTTCATCATGCCTTGTGCATGCGAATCCCTCGGCAACTGTCGTTCAAAAGCGACAAAACCGGACCCACTGCGCATACGCAACCACTTCTGTCAAACGCTAAACGTAGACAGATCGGTTAGCAGATGCAAGTGCTGGTTGGAAGTAGCGAGAGTATCAGGCCAATCTCCTCGATCGTTCGCCGCAGCGACAGCATCATGCCGCAGTAGGATTTGCATCACAGGCTGGCAACCAATAAAGGCTGCCGCAGCGAGCGGAGTGAGCCCCGGAAGGCTGGCAAATGCCCGAGACATAAAGGGACTGGTCTCAAAGCCAGCGACAGCACACTGTGAGCGTGCAAGGGCACAAATCCACGAGTAGTTGCCTTGCGGATTTGCCCGGGCATTCGCATCTGCCGCATGTGCTAGCAACAACTTAACGGTCCCCTCCGCGTGTCTGTTGCTTCGGGAAAAAAATGTCGCTCCATGCAAGGGGCCGTAGCCGATACCCTGCAAGCTTGGATTTGGGTCGCAGCGTGCCTGGAGCATGGCGGCAACTGTTTCTGTAGATGAGAAGGATGCGACACCAGTCAGGGGTGCCAGGCCCAAAGGAAGGCATGGGCTGCGCAAGTCTGCTCTGGCATTAAGGAGAACATGCATTTGTCCGGGCGACCGCATCATGTATGCAGGGTTCGTGCCATTCGGGGCTGCGCTGTTCACATCGGCAGCGAGTTCGATTAGCGCTGCCAGCACTCGGGCTGGCTGGTGTGACTTGGCCGCTGCCATCAAGAGCGTCTGGCCATCAAAGTACCCGAAGTGTTCCAGGCCATGCAGCCTTAAGTTTACATCCGCCTCCATGTAGACTAGATTGTGAATGAGATTCACGGCTCCAGCGAAAGTTGCACAAAGCAGGCCGTTCATGCTGCTCGTATCCTTCGCAGCTGCCTGGAGGCTAGGGAACCGGAATTGCTGCAGAAAAGCATCCCTTTCCCAGTACTCGTGGGTTTTCTGCCGAAGAAGTTGTACACGACCTGCTAGATAGAACCTATATGAACTCAATGGACCTGCTGATGACAAATACTCGATCTTGGCCCGCACCGCGATTTCACCCAATTGCACTACCTTTGAGCGGTCAGATTCAACGGTAAACTCACCATCTGCAATCGAATGGCGCTGCCAGTCAAGGGGAGACATGAACTCGGCTTCCTGCGCTGAATGCACCACGATAAGGCTAGTGCTGAGCTTGTTGGAAAGGACGTGACACCATAGCTCTGCCCGACACCACCCGCGCGACAGCCACGAAATATAATTGCAGCGAGCTCCTGTCACAGTGTGCGTCAGCTCTGGCACCAAAGCGATGAACAGCTGGGACACTTCGACGTATGCTGGGATGCTCTGGACGGCCAGGGCAGCATCTGACCGGGTCTCGTCTTCGTTCACGCCCTCCAGGCGTGCGGTGATCTGCGGTATCGCAAACCAGTCGAAAAACAGGAAGCCGTCGGCAATCTGTTGGCGAAGACCTGCTGAGATGACAGGCGACACGCGATTGATTAAAGTCACGGGGTCTGTCTGCACCTGGAGACTCCCACTGATGACACCAAGCAGGGCTTTGCGAAGAACTGCACATTGCTGCCCCTGCGGATCTGGATGAGCACTCCCCAGCCATTGGTGGCTTGTGAAAATTACGAACATCCCTGGATGCCAAGCACGAAGCCAGCCCTTCTCCTTTCCAGGAAAGGACCATGGGGATCAATCACCATACACAATGCGCCTGGAACGTGGGCTACTTTATCCTTGCGATACCCTGCGTCCTTCATGTGACCATGTGCCTCAGGAGGGCCGCTCATCCGCAGGAAATCGGAGACCTTCCGGCATTCGTGCCCAGGGCTCTACCCCTCCCATATCCCCCAGGCGGCCTTAACTACGCACATCGGAAAGAGCATGTCGTGCACGGGCTCCATGCCAACCAAGGCATCACTCGCACAGCAACACTTGTTTCCCATGGCTTGGGCAAGGCTTGGCTTAAGGCTACAGGTTTCGGTTTAGGTTTGGAGGCTTAGAGGTTCAGGGGCTCATTCCATCCACATTTCTCGTTTGGCATCTTCTGTTCGGCTGGCTATGTCGGTTGTGCTTGATCTATTCGCTCTTTGTGGGCGTGGGTTCTCTGTTGGGCAATGCACACGAAAAAGAATGGCCGAACATGCATTTCACGCTTCTTGTATCTGACTGTACCACCGTGCGTGATGACATTATCATGTCCTTGCAATTTTTTTAATCCAAACGCTCAGCTGTCAGCTTGAGGCCGGGTGCCAGCGACTGCTGTGAAGACACCACATTAAAGCAGCCTCACAACCACCTCATAACCCCACATGACGGACCCTGCTCAAATTCATGCACTTCCTGTGAGAATGCCAGAAGGAGGAATTGATGACTCAGCCCACCCAAGAATCAGTTCAAGCTTTTGATGCTGCCGTGTGCGCATCACGCGCACGACGAAAAGAAGCAAGTACTGTGGTTGTTCGGCAGGTTTGCGCGATTTTATGCAAAGCAGCAAGTTGGCCCCCGAGTCTAAACAAAGCTGTGCGACTCACTGCTGCCATGGTCTGCCGACAAGGCAAGGTAGTCAATCTTGGTGTCTTAGCGACGCCAGTGCATTGAGAGCTGCACAAGAAGACCGGCGAAAGCTGCGATCAGCGAGACTTCCCGCTGTGCTTGCAGCGACAATATGAACCCCCCTATCTGCCCGACGAAAGCTATCTGACAACGTGACAAATTAACCTGCAAAGAACAGGTCGCAATCTGGGCTCGATGTAAGCTATCCGACAACGTTGCAAAACTTCTCAAAATCCAGCACACAACCCGACCGTAAGGACACCACCCAGGACGCCTCTTTTCCTTGGCGCGATGGGCAGACGAGCTTTGGTCTTCCACCATCCTTGGAAAACTCGAGATGTTTAGCCCTTGCGAAGTAAAGAATACAACATTGCGGCCCCGATGCTCAAAAGGACAGGCGGATTGCAAATCTGTCCATTGACTTTCGTGACCCGATTCAAGTGCACTGGTAGCTTCGGTGCCTACATGATGTGCTGTCGATCCAGCGTGAAACTCGTTCGTCCAGGAGGGCCTCATGTCGCGAAGGTGGCCAGAAGTGGAAGCAAATGGGTGAAGCCGTTCCTTCCCCAAAAAAAACCCAAGCCCAAACCCTAATTACTAAACTCCCTCAACCCCAATCCCTACACCCCAAACCGTAAACCCTACCCTTAAACCCCAAGCCCTTCCTTTTTGCCAGGTCTTCCGGTAGATCGCCACGCGCATTCGGGATCATCTCGGCTCCAAATTCCAGGTAGACCTGGGGGGGTCTCACGGAAAACTAGGGTACCTTGATCTAAGGGGCGACACGGATATTTATTTTGGGGTCTCTATGTGGAGGTCCCTATAACGAGGATCCGTCTATGTTGGCGCCACTTCGTTCATAGAAGCTCATTAAACTCGGCCTCAACCCTGAACTGAACTTAAGCCCTAAAACCTAAACCCTAAACTTAAACCGCAAACCCTAAACTTAGAGCCTCAACACTAAGCCCTTTTAAAGCCTAAACCCACCCACCTTCACCAAGTCCTCATGTCCCATCAGCGCTGCCAGACTCAGGGGAGTGATGCCCGGCGCACTCGCTTCGAATCTCGTCTGCATTGGACAAGCTTCAAAGCCCTTGGCTGCTACCTGCTTAGGGTTTCTTGGTAGGGCTTAAATTATCAAATACTCTAAAGATATGGTTACTATACTAGGGCTTCGGGCTTAGGGTTTCGGGTTTGGGAGCTGCTACCTCCAGTTGCGCCGCACGACACTTCTGCGCGAAGGCTCCTTGGGGCTTTGCTTGTGCGTTGACATTGGCACGATGTGCAAGCAGCAGCTGAGCAGTCGTCACTGCATCTCTGTTGGAGCGCCCAAACAAAGTCATTGAATGTAAAGGGCCATATCTAACTCCGAAGGTCTCGTAATCGTAGTTCGGATCGCAACGGAACTTCAACATGGCTGCAACAGTTTCGGTGCTAGCCAGGGCGGCGGGACCGTTTAAGGGCCAACTTGCTTCCAAGTTTGCCTTTGCATCAGCCAACACTTTCACGTGCCCTGGAGACCGGACGAGATATGCGCAAACGATGTTGGACCTGGACCTTGTCTCCACATCAGCTTTGAGCTCAATGAGTGCCGAAAGCATCTCGGGCTCCTGCCGAGATTTGGCAGCCGCCATCAAAACTGTTTGGGTGTCGAAGTAGCCCAGCTCGCCAAGGCCACGCAGCTTGAAGTTCACGTCTGCACGATTGGCGGCGAGCAGACGTAGCATCTTCACATCTCCAGACATGACGGCGCTCAGGGTGCCATTCATGGGGCTCTCATCCTCCGCCGCTTCCTGCAAGCCTTGGAATCTGAAGTGAAGAAGAAATTCCTCAAGCGTGCGATCCCTCCTCTCCCTTCCCAGTAACCTGGGTCGCAATGCCAGATAGAATCGGAAGTGGCTGAGAGGGCCCTCATCTGATAAGTGTTGGATCTTGCTCATTACCGCCATATCGCCCAGCTTTACGACAGTAGAGCGGTCGCTTTCGACAGTGAAGTCTCCCTCGGAGATGAAGTTGTGCTGCCAGTCCAGCGGGAACATATATTCTGCCTCTGCTGGCGAATAAACAACCACCACGCTGGTGTCAGGCTTGTTTGACAAAAGGTGACACCATAGTTCTGCCCGACACCATCCTCTAGAAAGCCATGACGCATTCGCATTCGCA